ACCGCTGCCAAAACTCGCTCCGGCGAATGCGGTGGCTGACAAGGAAGAAAAGGAGCCGATAGTTGAAGCTGGCAACTTGGATCCACCATTCATTGTGAATCCTCCTGCGCGACACGTTGGCGAACAGCTCGAGAGGAGAGCAAAAGATTCTTGGTTGAGGGTGGGACCTGGGGTACAAGAGGTCGGCGACGAACTCAATCGAGTTCCTGGGTGAGCCCCAGTATTTTTATCGATTAAATATAATATAATGAATATAAAAAATATTCAGGAGAGGTTTTCATAAAATAGCTTCTTAGAAATAAATATTAGTAGAAATAAACATTAATTAGCAATTTAGTAATAATGAATAACTTTTATCTTGATATATAGACAGAAAGTTTCGCAAAAATAACCGTTATGATTTTAATAAAGAATAGAATTTTTGGCACGTATAAATACTACCATACTTATGTATCTAAATAATACAAAATTTTTCATTTTTGCTTATTATTAAGATAATATGTTTTACTTATCACATATCTTTTAGGTAAAATAATTTTGAGAAATATGCAATCTACTTTATTCTTTGTTAATAAATTCTTTGCTAATTAATTTTTACTTTCTGAAAATAAGGTTTTTTTTATAAAGATATTTTTCTCTATAGAACGAATACTTTTTACGCTCACTATGTATAAATATATATATATAAGCATCGTATACCTAATATCAATAATGTATAAAGTATTTAAATTATATGTTAAATTATATAATTTTGAACAAATAATTTTTGAATTAATTTAAATTTTTCTAAGAGATATTTAGAGTTTTAATAAATTTATTATACTATATTCTTTGATTCTAGATTGGATGATGGGCAAGCCAACGGTGGTGACGATCAATATGATGGTGCCGATTATGACAAGGAGTCGCAGCAAAAGAACGATATTCATCTTGCGGGTGAGGACGAGGGGGAAGGTAACTTGAGAACGATTGAATCGATCCGACCGCGCAATTGATGTCGCGACTGCAAAATTATTCTCGTATCTGAATTTCAGACGAAGGCGACATGCTTGAAGGCGAATATCCGAATAATTTGAAGCAAGGAAAGCGGGAATAAAATCAGCGTCGTCACGCAAATGTTTTTTAACACTACTAGCAGCCGAGTGGCACAAGAGGAATCGACTGAAAAATAGTTAAATGACCTGATCTGACCTGACCTGACCGATATTCATGATCGTTCGGGTTTAATCAGCGAAAAATACTTATTGTGTATTATAATCTATACAAATCATTCGGCGTGCGTGCGTGCGTGTGTGTGTGTGTGTGTGTGTGCGCGCGCGTGCGTGTGCGTGCGCGCGCGCGCGCGCGCGTGTGTGTGTGTGAGTGT